AATAACAAATATTTTAAAGGTGTCCCTCATTCTAACTGTTGTTTTTAAAAGCATCACAGTTGTTGTTTTAACAAAGGTCAAGGAGACACAAGTGTGGCCATGTCAAAAACTCTAATAAAATGCAAGAATTTAGCTGTAGCTTCTTTTGTATATATTAGGTAAGTGATAGTTTAATACTGAGGGTAGGTTCCTATTAAGAGCAGAACTGAAGTAGCATGGCAGGTGTTTGAATACTAATGTATTAGGAGCAATCATTGGGTCAGTCACATCAAGTGAAGCTCCCCATGGATCAGTAGTGAGACCTTTGCTTTTAACCCGTTTATAAAGGACCTGGCGATTGGGGGTAAACAGTGAGTGGGCAATGTTTGCTGATGTCACAAGATTAGTCAAGGTGACTAAAAATGGTTGTAAAGGGTCCAAAAGGATCTCTTTTAAAAGTGCCAAGTTATTGCTATTTAAGAAAATGAATGAAAATGAAACTGCCAGTATTATAATATTGTTATACAAATCTATGGTGCAACCACATTAGGATTCCTGCTGCTTAACCTCAAAAAGGACAGAGTAGAGCTCAAAAAGGTTTTAAAAAAGGTAAAACCTAAATGATCAAGAGGCTGGAACTATTCCAGTATGAAGTAAGGTTGCAACATTTGAAGATTTTTAGTTGGGGGGAAGGTGAGGAAGCAGGGACTAGATAGAGGTATATAAATTAACGCATGATGTGAGAAAAGTAGATTGAGATCAGGAGAAAAACTTACTTCTGGGGCCATCCAATGAATCTAAATGTTGGAAGATTCAGACAGCCAAAAGAAAGTACTCCTCCACACAGCAGTTAAAATTATGGAATTTGTTCCCCCAAGATATATTATTATTATTATTATTATTATTATTATTATTATTCCTGACCACTCTGGGAGGCTTCCAACACCTACAAAAACATAATAAAACATCAACCATTAAAAACTTCCTATTATAGGACAGCCTTCAGATGTCGTCTAAAAAGTTGTGTAGTTCTTTATCTCCTTGACATTTGATGGGAGGGTGTTCCACGTTCCACAGGGTGGGCACCACTGTCAAGAAGGTCCTTTGCCTGGCTCCCTGTAACTTCACTTCTCGCATATAGAAATAGCCACCAACTAGGATGGCTTTAAAGGGGCATTAGATAAATTCATGGAGGATAAAGGTATCAAGAACTACTAGTTAGGATGGCTGTTTACTACCTCTAGTGTCTGTGGAAATTTCCTCTGAATACCAGTTACAGGAAATCACAAGTGGGGAGGTTGAGCTCATATCCTGCTTGCTGGCTTGCCATAGGCATCTAGTTGGCCACTATGAAAGCAGAATGCTACACCAGATAGGGTCCTTGGCCTGAATCAACAGGGCTTTTCTTCTATGTTCTTGCATCATGCCTCACCCCTGTAAAATAATAATTAATAATAATAATAATAATAATAATAATGCACATAGTGATCAAAGTGTATACTGTACACTGAATGCATGGTGGGGCAGCTGGATTGTGGGGTGGTGGGGAGTTAACAAACCCGACTGGTTTCTCTCAATTGAAAGAGCTGGGTAAAAGATACGAATATATTTTATTTTTGTATGGATGGCAATGTAATTAAAAGGACATTTGCCCATTTACAGGAGCAAGATGGCCAGGTTGTGTGGTTAGTTTTATCTGAACTTTAATCCTACACCATGCATATTTTTGGAATTCAACACCGGGGAGAAACTGAAAGCTGGTAAGTGTTGTGTGTGGTTGTATATATTTGTGGGAGTGCTAAAACATAGTAATACATTTGTGTGCAATGATCCTGCACTGGAACTATTTTAATGTCAGCTCTTTTTGGATCAACTCACATATGTTGTTTTTAAGGATTAAGATGAACTGTTTAGCTGTTCAAATTTTCCCTTATGCTCCAGTCCTAAAAATATTTGCTACCACAAACAGCATTTCTGTAAACCATATTGGATACAAGGAATCCAACAATAATACTAAATTAACACTGTTCAACTTACAAACAACTCAAAACAATGACTTTTAGCTTCAGTTTGCCTTCTCCAAGAAACAAATACTGCACAAACCGCAACATCTATCATGCATTTGTAAAACACCAACACCAAAGAAATTCAAAAGGTCATGGAAACTTCTGAACAATTTCAAAATACTAGGAGGTTCTGAAAAGCACAAATACTCCCCATTATGCAATTAAAACACAGGGAAATTTGGTAAAACACTGAGTAAGCAATACAGATATCCACAAAAAGGATCAAAATATTTACACTTTGGTTTTCTAGCTAGCCCTTTCTGTTTATATCAATGTTCTTTTAAGAATATAGATACAGGCCTCCACCCTTAAGCAGCATTGTCTTAGCATCAGGGGCAAAGTGGGGATGTGTAAAGAGAAGTTGAACTTTTCTGACCTTGTTTAGGCAAAACAGACAGTAGAAATGGGTATGAAATGATGGAAATTTAACCTATGACAAGTATCTATTGAAAACAGAGCCCACTGTAATCCTGTTTTCAATGAATTAAGACAATATGCAAAATGCTTAGATAATGTTAATACCTCTCTTTAATGTGCCATGGCTGTCTATTTTAAGAAGTTTCTTTGCCAGTTTTGTTCCAATTATTAAGTTTGTTCATTTGTTATAGTGGGTCTGTGTATATTTGTTTGCTGACATGGGGAAGTATAATAGTGCAACAGCATGCTTTATTCAACAGGTAACTACTTCTGCTTTTGTATTCACATATTCTTGAAAACCTAATAAAAGTTACTTTTAAAGGAAGTGTCTTTGCTATAGGACACCTGATCCTTGGCAGCTGAACTGATTCGGGCATCATTTCCAGTTTTTAATCTCTTCTAGGTCATGGATGACCAGCTTCTCAGCTTCCAGAAAGGGCTAGAAGCCTATTTTACCACCCAAACTGGCCTCCTCAAAATGGGTCATGCATTATAATAGAGGTATCACCGTCCTGCAGTGAGATCTGCACAGATATAGAGAATATACACCCATGAATCAAAAGGAGTATGGGAAAACTCAGATCACACCAAATGTATTATTATACAGAGATTTTCGTGTGATTTGGCAAGCATAAACAGCTTGCAACATATTTCATGTTGTGCTACAAAAAAGAGCTCCTACTTTTAAAACTTCAGATTTCATCTGACATGGCTCCTTTCTACTCCCATACAAGCTGACTTGCAGTTTTTAAAGTATCCCACTGATTTCCATACATACGTTTTCACAAGAGCCAAGGTCAGCTTATAAACTAAAACATATTCTGTTCTAATACCTATTTCCCAGCCTATATTTCTGTAACTTTTGTCTGTATTATGTTGCACCCAGAGGCAATATATTGATTTCAAATGCCTTGCTTCCACTTATTTCCCCTGACATCTAATCCCACATGGAGTCTGGATTTAAGCTACATCTATCACTTTTAACAGAGAGAGGGCTAAAATATAGAAAACTTATCTGAGCCAGATATGTCCAAACACTTATTAAATTGTAGCTTCCAGCTAGTTATTGACTTTCACAGAATTACCTTCATACTTTATCCATTTGTTACTGTATCTGTCTTCTGAAAACTCAGAGATACCAGCGCTGAAGGTTTCATACCCAGAAGTCACATTAAAGCCTTGCAGTGCTTAGCAGTTATCTCCCAGCCTAAGATACTAAGTGAATAGAATTGCTTGAGAAAGTTTCAAAATGAGTGCATCAGAAATTAAAGCTAAGAGTACTCTTAATGGATGTCTTGTGGGTACAAAGCCTTCTAATAACAGACACCAATAAGCTTTTATTAAAGCTGCGAGTTGGTCCTCTCCACTCCCCCTTGAGTAGTTTCATCTCTATCAGTCACTAAAGTTGGGTATGGAATAGCAACTATCAAAATAAATTGGGGGGCTGCGGGAATCATGCTCAGAAAAAGGATGGCTGAATTATATAGAAGTGTGATGTATCATGTTTTAGGGAATGGAAATAGTCAGCTGCACCATGCAGGCCTTTGACTCCCCTCTTGCTTCCAGTGTCTTCCACTAAGGAGGCATGAGGTAAGAAACTAGAATCCCCTCAATGCATTTTCATTGACCTTGGAAACCTGATGCAAGTTTACTTCCTTGAAAATATATAATGTGTATGCTAATACTTCAAGTCCCAAATAGCTTCAGGTGGGGATGGGTATAAGAATAATGACAAATACCTGACAAGTGTACAGATCTTTTTGCTGATGTAAAAGACTAGCTTTTATCATAGGGCAAACCGCTCCCTTTTGTCATAGGGCAACCTGCTCCCTTTAATGAATGGCTGTACTGTATGTATCAGCTATGACAGTGCTCTCATCTCATCTTGCAATGCACTTTACTCAACTGTCAGGAACTGGCTGGCTAATGAGAAGTGGTGGGAGGCACTAGCTGGGGAACCCCCAAGGAAAATCCAGAGGAGGAGGGCTCAGAGCCTGGGGATTAGTGATGGGCTATACATCCAGGAGAGGTCAAAGTGGAGTTGTTGGATGTTGAGAGGCAACAGAATTCAGTGAACAGGGAGAGCCTGTGACAGGGAGCAGTTCTGACTCAAGAGGATGAAGCAGAGGAGGAGGGGCAAGAGGCTGCAAAAGAGGCTGCATGGAGTCTGCCTCTCCTATTGTGATAAACTTCTTTTCCACATTTGTCATGATGGTGGACTTCCTGGGATACTGACTAACCAGCGAGGTGGTGAGATGGATTCAGTGAAAGTTCAGGGCGTGGCATCTGGGCGGGTACTGAAGACCAGGTCTCCAAGGATATGCAGAGTAGTATGCTGTTTCTTTGAATAAAGAATTAATTTCTCTGACAAACTCTGCTTCTTGCCTGCTGACCCCCATCGGACTCCAGACCTGACATCACCTAGCTTACACTGTTTTGAATCATAATGCTTTTGTGCTTTGGAACAGTCTATTTGTGTCTTATTCAAGAGAACAACATAGCACCGTTTTTGAAATATCAATAAATTATTTTGAAGGGGAAAATAGTTCAGTTGGTAGAACATGAGACTCTTAATCTCAGTCTTATGGGTTCAAGGCCCACATTGGACAAAAGATTGCTGCATTGCAGGGGGTTGGACTAGATGACCCTTGTAGGCCATTCCAAATCTACAATCCTATGATTCTATGTAGAAAGTATGTATGTAGAAAGTCCACTTGAGTTTGTCAGATGTCAAGGAGAAGATAAGAAAAGGCTTGGGGTGCATTTTCTGCTGTGTATAAAACAACTTCTACCACCAGGACTCAAAAAAAGTAGTTAACTAGTGTGCTGGACTGCCATAGCTAGTCTGTCTCCACAGTCATGTTGTTGTTGTTGTTGTTTAGTCGTTTAGTCGTGTCCGACTCTTCATGACCCCATGAACCAGAGCATGCCAGGCACACCTGTCTTCCACTGCCTCCCACAGTTCGGTCAGACTCATGTTTGTAGCTTCAAAAACACTGTCCAACCATCTCATCCTCTGTCGTCCCCTTCTCCTTGTGCCCTCAATCTTTCCCAACATCAGGGTCTTTTCCAGGGAGTCTTCTCTTCTCATGAGATGGCCAAAGTATTGGAGCCTCAGCTTCACAATTTGTCCTTCCAGTGAGCACTCAGCGCTAATTTCCTTAAGAATGGATGTGTTTGCTCTTCTTGCAGTCCATGGGACTCTCAAGAGTCTCCTCCAGCACCATAATTCAAAAGCATCAATTCTTCGGCGATCAGCCTTCTTTACGGTCCAGCTCTCACTTCCATACATCACTACTGGGAAAACCATGACTTTAACTATCCGGATCTTTGTTGGCAAGGTGATGTCTCTGCTTTTTAAGATGCTGACAGTCATGTTAATCCCATTAATACTGCATCTAAGTGACTTCTGCCAAGTCAAAGGTCACTGCATGAACTAATCAAATTAACAAACAAATAATTGAAATTAAGTAGACTCTTAAATATTCATCATCATTGGTCTGATCCATACAGGAAGACTCTCCCGCATGCATAGCCAGCACATTATGATCACATGGGGAAACAATAATTCACTGGGCTATACACTGTAAACTTTTGGGTTTGTTGCTATACTAAATGGAGTAAAAGAGATCAGAACCTGTGGAGGAAGTGTTGCCTACAAACTTTCTGTGTATCCCTGAATTAAACCAGACCGATGAATACTACAAGTCTTTCACTATCACCAATATTTAGAAGATCATCTGTGCCTCTGCCAACTTTTTCCTTTTGTTGCACCTCAAAATTAATCCCTATTGCTTAGGTTTATAAGACAACATCAGACAGAGCACATGGCAGTACAAAGAGCAGCCAGGACAAAATACACTGGCAGACTAGATGTTCTTTTAAGTAGAAAGTCACTTGAGCATTGCAATGATCATGGGTGTATTACAGCAGAATTCCTAAGCAGTGTAAAGCTATGGAGAAAAAGAAGAGAGAAGAAATATCCTTGGTGAAATTCCCCTGAGAGTATTCTGAAAGTATAGGAGGGATCCATTAATTGCTTCATCTATCACAGTCTACCAGCAAAACAGCTGTAATAAAGACAGCTAAAGTTTTAAAAATATTGTAGTGGAAAAACAACTGCCCATGCAAAAACTTTCCTTTTATGTTGATTGCTAACTTTAATCTTACATCTTCAATTATCACAATTTAATTGTGTGTTTGTATATTTTGTATCTCCACCACCTTTGCAGCTGTTCTCTCACAGCACATGACTGGGGCATTTATATTTATCTGTGTTCAAAGATCTAAACCAAAATAGAATATCAAGTCTTTACAAGTTAGCAACATGTAAACCTGCACCTCGAGAAAAAGGTATGCTTAAACCATTTTCTTGGAAGACTGTTTGAAAGCCTGGAGTGAACCCTAGTGGTCAATACCCAAATTTTTAGAGAAAGGAACAATTACATATATAGAATAATAAAACTGCTTCATCAAGTTAGGCACACATTTTGTTACTCAGTACTCCATTGGAGTATCACATTTTCCAACTGTTCTGAAACCATGAGAGCTGGACATTTTTAAAAGCTTCCCCCACAACAATCACATATTTTAAAAGGACAGTTTCTTAGAAGTGTGTTGTTAACATTGCTATCTTTCAGGAACCAGATTAAGACTTTTTTATCCAAGCTCTTCGAAGGTTTTTATGTTGTTGATGGTCTACTCACTTTGCTGCTGTTTTTACATGCCTTTATGTTATAATTTTATGATTCATTACTGAATGACTTGTTTTGTGTTTTTCACTTCACCATGGTATCTGTACAGATGAAGGATAGATTATATTTTCCTATAAACATAAAAATGTAAGGCTGTCATCATGCGGAAGTTTTAAACCTAACACAGAGGTTAATATTGTTTAGCATCTTCAAACAGTGGACTTCTTTGATGGCTTATTATTTCACTTGCTAACATTTCACCAGAATAACTAACAAATGTTAATTTCTTGCTTCAATTCAACATTTACAACCTTTTATTTCTGTCCAAACCTTTCTGATTACAGTGGTACCTCAGGTTACATATGCTTCAGGTTACATACGCTTCAGGTTACAGACTCCGCTAACCCAGAAATAGTGCTGCAGGTTAAGAACAGAAATCGTGCTCCGGTGGTTTGGCGGCAGCAGGAGGCCCCATTAGCTAAAGTGGTGCTTCGGGTTAAGAACAGTTTCAGGTTAAGAACAGACCTCCGGAACGAATTAAGTACTTAACCCGAGGTACCACTGTACTTTTTAAAGATATTGTGAGGGACAGCAATACTACATATGATGAAATGCATGCCAATTCCAGGATTATCTTCTTCTGCACACACTATACAGATAATGGACAGCTTGCCTCAGGATCTCCTCCTTGTTACTTCATGATCCTGCCCACCTCAGTATCCCTACATATATTTCAGACATGTTAAACCGGTTGACCGTGATCGACAGGTAGATCCCGGGGTGTTCCTGGTCAATCGCGGGTGCTCCTGACTGATTGCGGGATTAAATAAAGTTGGCTAGGAATGTTGTTGCTCCCCACCCCCGGTGCCAGACGCCTCCACTACCGCAGAACGTTAAGCCATTCTCTGCAGCAAGCGCAAGTAAGCGCGACACTAGCAAGTGGCAGCACTGATTCGGCTCTGGGCAACCCTCCCCAGAAAAAGCTCAACAACTCTGAGCAACTCACCCCACGCACGCTCCTCCTCCCTCCAATAACAATGGGTAGAACACTTCCAGTTTTTTTTATACTGGGAGTAGATCGCAGTCTATTGAGAGTTGGATGTGCCTGATATATTTAATTTAATGCATATGTTATTTTTATTAAAGTTGCCTTGACAAGAAAAATCTACCCTTTCCTGAAATCTCCAATAGCATTCAAGCTCAATTTTAAACTTTCAGAAATACTAGCATTTTGCGGAGGGGTGGGGGGCATGTCTATTTTTGACTGCCTCAATTTTTAGGAAGGTTGATGGAAAAAAGGGGGTATCTGTATAAAGAATTTAAAAACAAAACACCAGTTTTCTGGTTTCTCAGAAGCAAGACTGGCAAAGATACGCTTTTGCAAGAAATGCACTGAGATCATGCACATAATTGGTTTCACAAACATAGGCCTTATTAACATCCAGATACTGTCAACACTGTGGCATTTCTCCTTTCATACCTACCACAACATAGATAGAATGACGTTCAGAGCTGCTGGCGAGGGTTATACTGCACTGTTTTTTAACAGGTACAGTTTCAGAAAATGCTGATCTCATCCACCACTGAGCTATCTGCTGCAAGTCACAAGAGTTCCGAGCACAAGAGTGGTTTAGGAATGCAAATGGTATAAACCAGAACAAAAGTCAATGAGACAAATTCCTCCCACACCTGTCTAATTCTTTATTGCAATATGATGTGCACAAATGCTATTATTTATGCTGAACAAGCAATAATCAAGGTAGCGTTCTCCACAAGAGGGCACAAGACTTATGTTCTAATAACAAATGGTACATCTGTTATTGGAACATCTTTTAGCAAGTTTAGTCCATGGAGCATTCTGTAGGGTACCACAGATTTGCAGTGCTTCCCTCTTAGATGCTTACTAGAGGTGAAGTTTTCAATAGATGCTCCATACTGTACTTAAGAGTAGTAGACAAATTTGTTCAGAAATGACAGCCATAACCCAGCCACTCTGGGTACCTGCCACCTGGGAAAGTGAGACCAGGCCACAGCGTTACAGCCCTCTCTTGTACCCTCCATTTCCCCGTTTGAGTCACTTGCTGCCACCAGCAGCTCCTTATCAAACAGCTTCCCAAAGTTCAGGATATCTGTTCAAGTGGAATATCTAGCAAAGCAGAACAAAATATGTCATGGCCCCTCCCCTCCCTTGTTTCAGTTTGGGCAGAGCGACTCTGTGGATTCTGTCAATTTCCATTTCCATAAGCTCAAGATCGGGAAAAGTTTGATTAGCCCAGTTGAGGGAAAGAGCTTAAAAGTATTGTTGGTCAGGGAGTTCATTCCCAGATGAATATTTTGTCTAAGGCTCCATAAATAAGTGAGGCACCACCACTTAAAAGGTCTGTTCTCGTGGTGCCAACTTCCAAATGCCCTCAGAGGAGGCACATCAAGAAGGGCCTCAGATGATGAACAAACTGCTTTTGGTTTGCTTGTACAAAATGCAATCCCTTACACTTCAGTCCTATCCATGTAGGAAAAAAAGAATTTGTTATACACAAAGGGACCTGAATTTTCTGGTCCATATCAAAATATCAAAAAGAGAAAGAAATAGTGCTATCCTTCCAACATTCTTGTTGATCAAAAAGAATAATGGAATGCAAATTAATATGATAAAACCCAAGTTAAGACTGTTTTAAAAGCGGACATTAAGTGGAAGAGAATGGCACAGGAACACATTACGGATTCTATATTTTTTTGCATAAAATTTTTAAATGAGTACACACACACAAAATCCCAACCAACTAATTATTTGCATAAAACTTGGATTAGCTTGAAGCTATGAAGCTCTTATCTCCAATGGCCAAAATGTTATGGAATGTTTTGACTAAACACATCTCATTTTTTATTTACAACAGGTTACCACTAGCATCTTCCAG